CTCTCTCTCTCTCTCTCTCTCATTATTGAATTATCATGACCACTTAAGTCCCTATAGCTAGTCAAGTGCTCTTCATGACTTTATTCCCATACATCGAATGTCAGATATTTTCATCTAAAATTTCTTCTAAACAATCGGTGAAGTTCTGGTCGATTTTTCTGAGAATCGTTATCATCTGGTGTTTAAGTTTTCAATGTTAATTATTTGGTTTAACTCTAGACAAAATCCTGTAATTGTTATTATGGAATTAACAGATTAAGGCAATTTTAATCTGAAACTTCCCCTGAAAGTGAATTAATTTCAGTGTACGGTTATCGATATTTAGTGCATAAAACTTCATGATTGCAAGATGAAAAGGGTTAACTTGAACTAGATCTCTTTTGGTTAATTTTCGTGAATGCATCCAATTATCAGTTACTGTAACACGTGTAAGTAACATGCCAAACTTTAGTGCTATAAGATCTTCTCTAATATATTTCTTTATCTTCCATCAATCGTGTTTACTTACCAGTTGTGACCTTTAACTGAGGTAATACATGCACAGCATTTATGCGAGACTTCAAAAAGTCTCTGTTGATTATTTTACAATTTTGTCTAGACATGGCCAATTCAGAATTGTGATACTGTATGGACACTTGCCTATCATAAATCATTTTTTGTTGACCTCTTTGTTTGTTTTTGTTTTGTCTGTCGCTACATTATCATTGATGTATAACCATAAACTAATTGTATACATAATACTGGCGAAATGTATAGATTACAATATTTGATGGTTAAATTATACCTTCCTACAATACTGAAATTTTTAAATGTTTGTTTATTCTACGCATCTTTGACAATACTGATACATCCACAATTTCAGATCTATGATAATTTTGACTGGCCATTATCAAATTGACCAACAAGTTGCATGCTCCTGAAAGTAGAAATTAAATAAGCTAATTTTATCGAGTTTTTACTAACTGGCCAGCAAATGGAGACATATATTCCACAAACAAATCAACCAATAAATATATTAAATTTAAATTATAATATTTATTGCAATAATAGCTTCTAAACTACAATTACCTTTAACACAGAATATCACTTTATTACTTTAGCACAAGAATGAAGATACTTGCGTCACAAAGTTGCATTCACATAATAAACATGCTGTCTACATATAAATTGATTAGATAAATTAAGTATATGTAATTGTCACATACCCATGAAATGAATCTGTCTCTATTGGAAAAATAAATCTTTACTTGCTACGTCTGATGGGAAAAATGGTTCACAGGCTTACTGGACCACAAACAGAAATTTAATTATCTCTTAATTGCCTTAATTTGTCCACTGCTTTATTTTTAGTTGAATATGTATATCAAATTTGTATTTTGTAGAGATTTTTATTTTCAGGTTTTATTTATTTCTCTTTGGCCAATTGACCTAATTAAACAATATATATGTATACAAGTCAGTGGTGTAAGAGCGTGAATTTTTTTCATATCTGATATAAAACAAATGAAACAACTGCAGTGTAAGATACTGTTAACAACTATGTACCACTACACTTTTGTTTAATGATAAACAATAGATGTTTCTATTCTTATGTTAGGCAAGCAGGAAATAAATGAGCATGGAATATGAGAATGTACCTTGTTGTATTCCATATGGCATGGTACCAAATATCAAGAAGCTATAATTAGTAGTTGATAGATTATGCAATAAAATATTAATATTTGTACATAACATGTGAAAACATAGGATACATATTTTGTAAACAAGACTTCTTTTATAATAATTTTTTTTAAATTGTCAATACCGTACAACTCACTAGTATTTTAGTTTATATTTTTAAGAAATAAGCCAAAAATGGTACTAGGTTTGTAATTTGTAATAACATTAGTGGTACCTCTTTTACTGCAACAGATGTGTATTTCACCACTTAATGTCTCTTCAGTGACGCTTGAGGCCAAAATTATTGAAAGTCCAAAACTTTAAACAAAATTTTTAAGAGATAATAACAGGACCCCCCCCCCCCCCCAAAAAAAAAAAAAAAAGACCTAGATAAGGAGTAAATCATGAATCTCTGCTGAAGCTATACTTATGTCTCACCTACTTCAAAATAAAAATGACGGTTTATTAATTGTGTGTGCCGGAAGTGCTTTTCTTGATTTACCTTCGAATCATCAGGAACACTCACACTTGAAGACAACACAAAAGCTGTTTATCAATAAAGCATCTTTGTATTTCATTTGCAATGAGACTGATTAAACGTGAAAAATATAAAAAAAAAAAACAAATAAAAACATATAAAAAAACAAAACAAAAAAAATTTATACTAATCCCCTATTGTATAAAACTTCTTGAAATTAAACTTTGAAGTATATATCAAAAGTAAATAAAAGTCAACCTAAATCAGGCAAGACTGAAAGACTAGTTACAGAGGATACATACACACTGACTAGTGAAAATATTATTGTTTCCATAAATACATGTAAGAAAAAAATAATGCAAAAGTAAATTGCATTATCATACTATGGCAGGATAATTGTTTGGGCTTGTTTTACCCCAAAGAGCATCATTTCAGTCTATAATTATATCAGCACTTTTAAAAAAGTGTTGCTACTGAAATAAACATTGTTTTTAAAATTACACAGCTTGATACTGGAAACTTTATCTTAGATTTGAATAAGTTTTGTATTAAGTGCCAGTCTTTGTAAGAATCAGGCAATTTTGAAAAATTTTAAAACATGACCTAAAAAAAAACCACCACCCTAACCATCCTATTTTAAAGTTACCCTTGTCCTGAGTGAGAAACAGTAGGTCTTTTGTTTCTGCGTGTCTGGTAATTCGAGAAATCTCTAGATAAATTTTGGTTAGAATGATAGCAAATTACGGAGTTAGCTCCCCTTAATTGGTAATTTCTAGTTCATATCAACCAATTTATATCTTGAAATACCAGAACAGGAAAAGGAAACGAATGTTATATTTGTTCACTATAATACATTTTGACCTGAAGTCAATGTAAAAGTGAGTGGGTTTTTGTTTGCCATTTTATCACCACTGCCTGATTCTTAGGTAGATTGTAGACGAAACGCGCATCTGGCGTAAATACAAAATTTAATCCTGGTATCTATGATGAGTTTATTTGGCACTTAACAATCTTGATTTGAATATGTAGCATTATTTTTCAAATAAATTTAATTTTAATATGTAACATTATTTCAAGCTCCTAACAATTTAAAACACTGAACATTTGCATCAAATAAGGTAAATATATGTATGAATAATTATATTATCCAAATATGACGTTTAGGTTGAATTCTTCTCCTTAATGACAATAACATTGAGGTAAAAATCTACATACCTTTTTTATTTACAAACAAGATATACAAATCATAAAAGTTTTGAAAGCAGCAGTACAAACTTTTTTTCATCAAGTACAGTAAAAATAATAAAATGATACAATTGTCCAAAATATTTCCATGTAGATACATATAGAACTATCTATAGTTTTAAATAAAAAGAGTCATGTATTATAAATATATAAAAAACATAAAAAAAGCATACAGCTATATCACATTAATATCAAAATTTATCCTTGTCAATAAAAAGAGGTACAGTAAGGCAACTTTTGATTTCAGAATGAACCACAAGTGTTCATTCTCGTGTAAAAACATTTAAAATTTGTAAAAATAATGAAATGCATATATAAATCTGAAAATTCAATATATCACAAGAAAACAGTCGTTTTGCATGTATCTACTCAAGTTTAATCTATCAAGATAGGTTACATCAAATTACACATTTTTTAAATGATCACTTGTTGAATAATATATATATATATATATATTTTCATAAAGATATCACAAATCAAAAGATTTAACCAGATAAGGATTGATACAGACAAGAAAACGTACTGACCTCATCCTATCATCTGTAGGAGTATTAAATAAATTATACTAATGTACTCGTAGCCTAAGAAACAATATTTCTTTAAAATGGAAAAGGCATTTTTTAACTCAAATATATTTTCAAAATAAATGGCAAGAAGATCTAAATTGCATTACTTAAAGAATTAAATAACATAAAAAATTATATAGCTAAATAATAATGCTAAAACTAATACATGGTAAAATATTTCTATAATTGCTAATTTTCCATATATATGAACAAAAAAAATTTCAACTTTGAGCAACAACAAAAACCTGGCCTTCTGTAAATTAAGGGAAGCACATTAAACATTGTCTCAATGTACTAAGGCAAATGGAGATTACAGCAAAACTTTGAGCAGCCTCATTCAGATTACATATATGTAGTACAACCATTTGGGCAATAAATTTTGCTGTTATAAATAAAAAAAAACATAACAGATAACTAATATTTCATTTCAAACTTATAATATCACAAAAATCAAGTAAAAATCTCTCTAAAAATTAAAAAAAAAACCACATAAAACTAATCTACTGTTTAGAAAAGAGTAGTCTGTATTCATATTTGAATAAGACTAAACAAGAAATGAAGATTATTTCTGGGATATGACAGGTGATATTCGTATAAACCCCTGTTTAGAAATTATTTCTGCCAAATTTATATGAGTTTAAATTTAAATATGAAAGGAATTGATAAATAACAACTATTATCAAGGCACAGTTACTTCCCATAGGAATTCCGGTTGTCTTTTAAAGAGATGTAAAATATGTAGATGTGCTAGCTGATCTGATAGGAAAATTAACACAATTATCGTGGTAAATTTTAATATCTACAGTTAAAGTAATCGCTTTGTGTCCAAGTGAATTTATAAATAGCCATGCAGTCCAAGTGTAGTATCATAATTTGATATTCTATCTGATATTGTTAAAATCCTTTCTTGTTAGGGAAAAAATTATCCTATTTTTAACTCCTCCAATAATCAAGTAAAAGGCCATAATTATCAGCCTCGAATATAGTTTTTTGGAAATTTTGACCAAGTGTTTGAATAGAAAATATAATATATATTAAGGGATACTTCAATCACTGTACCTCCTGAGAAAATATGGCATTTGATGTCAATACACTCAACAAACTGTCATTTCCATTCATAGTCAAAGTAAGTCCCTGTAAGTTACATTGTATATTCTTAACTACAGGTTTAGAAGAACATTTCAAAAATTTTAAATAGATGTATTTTCTATTACATTAATTTATCACAATGTGCATAAAGTACCTATCGCAAAAAAAATTAAAAACAACACTTAATAAATTTCCTGCATCTGAGGAGCTTTTCTGGATTTAAATTCATCGAGACCGCACAAAGCAAAATATTTGATAGCCAATGAAACCTCAGTCTCTTAATAACTTCTAAATTATTTCTAAAGTTCTAAACAAGTATTTCAAGTGCATACATTGTAACTGCAACATTATAATTTATTATGTTTATTAGATGTCAGTTTGTGTAGATTTTGAAAAAAATATATATATATATATACATTTAATAAAATATGTGAATCTTCAAATAATGCAATGTATAAGCAGATATGGTTAATCTAATGTTTTGATATGGGAAACCCAAAATATCACTCAAATAAAAAAAAATATTTAAAGCACGCTTCATGGGAACAATAAGTTTAAAAGAAATTTTTTTTAAAATGAAGTTAACACGTTTTTGGTTTTGTCTGATTTTAAAACACAACTTAACAGTGTGTTTGCCTTTGAGCATCACAGAAGCAACATTGCTATGAAGAGTAAGTATCAGGTAAAATTCTTACTTTTTAGGTATTATCTTCTAAGGAATTTCATTTTGTTGTTTGAATCTGGTGTAACCAAATGGTTAAAGAGAGATAACAATAATATTTACATTTACATTTAAAGGACATGCTTAAGCTGCTCAACAACTTAAAAATACAACTATTTTATCTTTCAGTTCAAACATTAAAATTAAGGAATAATCAAATTAAAAAAAAATTCAAATCATGATTGAGTGAGACAAACATATTTTTTTATTGTTGTCTACATGACATTACTGTAAATTCAGAAATTATTGTGAGGTTTTTATTAATGCGAATAATGCGAGTGGATGAAGATCGCAATAATAAGAACTCTCAGTCCGAAATCTGATACTTATATATGTATGCAGATTTTCCTGAAATCACAATAATAAATCTCACATTTTAGTCAATTTTTTAAAAATTGCAAAATTAAATGCACGCAATAATTTCTAAATTTACAGTACATACGTAATAATGTAAAATGACATTCTTAACCTGCTCAACCTTCCTGGATATAAGTACAGTGAAACCAGAAAATCCACTAAGGGGAGAGCAACAAAGCGGTCTCATAATACAGTTTTTTGCTGAATACAGGTGGTCTCTAAAGCAGGCTTGACTGTACTTGGAATATCCATACTTTTACTGGCCTATGCAAAAAAAGGAACCAAAATACATTGTTTCAAAACTAAACAAATATTGTGACCTCATTGTCCACAGGTATTAGATATATATAGAAATAAGAAGATGTGGTATGAGTGCCAATGAGACAACTCTCCATCCAAGTCACAATGTGTAAAAAGTAAACAACTATAGGTCAAAGTACTGCTACTGTGACTTCATTTATTACTCAGCAACATTCTTCTTCCGATTTTTTATTTTTTGATTGAGAATAAATATCCTTTGAGGGTTTTCAGGAATAAAACCATTTCATAGAAATCAATATGATCTGATATATATTTATATAGTTGTATAAATGTATATATATTTTTTAGAAAGCAACACACAACATTCAATTTACCTAGGTATGAATCAGTTCTAAAATAAACAGATGTGGTTACAAAGTATAATCATGAAATTGCCTATGAATATAGCTTTAACATGCTGAATAAGTGTTTTAAAACAACAAACTTCATAATTTACACAATATTTAGCTACAGATGTACACAAGCTACATGTATCTTTATCTTCCAACAGAAACCCCACCAAATATGCCTTGTTTTCATATGTAGAATTATATCAAAATTAATAAAGACATAATAATGTAAAAGTTATACTGAAAGACAGAAAAATATCTATTTCTCTCTATGGATATGACTAAATAAATGTCCTACTTACACATGCACATTAAGTACATTGATGTATGAAAAACAAAAAAATAATGCTGTGCATGTGTTAATAGGTTAGTAGTAATACTTTAAAAAACAAAGAAAAAAAGAAACTTTAAGAATTTCGTAAAACCTAACAGACAAAAAGGTTTTCCCGTTCCATAGAGAAAAAAACTTGAATACCAGGATAAAATACAATTGTTATTTTACTATTTATAGTAAAAGTGTATATTGTTTGTAAATATTCCTGCATTTAGCCACCACAACCACCACATCCTCCCCCTCCGCAGCCACCACCACCACAACCACCACCACCACAACCACCACCATCACCCCCTCCACCACTATCACCCCAGCCACCGCCATCACCTCCTCCACCACTATCGCCCCAGCCACCACAATCACCCCCACCACCCGAGTCCCAGCCACCACCACCACCTCCATCATCCCCTCCTCCACCAAATCCCTCACCACCACCACAACCACCACACCCTCCACAGCCCCCACCATCCCCATCTCCCCCATCACCATTGCCTCCATCACCATCTCCACCATCAGTATCACCATTGATGTCTCCATCTGTATTACCATCACTACCAAACCCATAACCACACCCATTTCCACAACCATCCAAATCAGTCCCCCAATCAGATCCAGAATTGTCACCTAAATAGAGAACTGTGGCTCCACCCATATAACATGGATAATATCTTCTACCATATTTTTTCCTAATATGATGGTTAGATGGTGTGGCAATAGCCATTCCTGCTGCTGTAAACATTGCAACTTTCCCAACATTTAATGTTTGAATTCTTCTTCGTCCTCTCATTACAACTTTGTCCTCTTGCTGTCCTGGTTCCCAATCATTTTGGTGTGGTTGACAAAGCACATGTAGAAGGGAAACACTGAATGACACTGCAATATGCTCTGCAATGGTCTTACTATCTGGCTTGGTCAGAATTGTACCATTGACTAGGTCAACCTCTGTGTCATCAATTGTAAATTTGTAGGAACCAAGGGAATAAGAATTTCGCAGATCTAAGTCTATCCATGACTTGCTGGTCATCTTGTACAATTTAACCTTCAAATGACCTGGATCACCAGAAATACCACCACTCCCTGAAAAACCAATAGTTTATGTTACTCTGTGATATTCTAAATTGTACACCTTCACAGTGTAGGATTTACAAATGTATATATTCATTCATGGTATTGCATTACTAATTTATATCACATGGTGTCTGGTGGATAGTACTCTCATTGGCAGTTATACCAAATCTCCTTATTTTTACACTAAATAGCATTACCATGATTACCACTCTCAGATTATAAAAATATATTTGTTGGGAGTTTAACATGTAGTATTGGAACATCTCAATCTGAAAAAAATCTTATTAAACTAGAGGATCTACAGAGCCTGTGTTGCTCACCTGCATCTTCAACAATGGCCATTTTTTAGTAAAAACCATCATTAAAGGGGAATAACTCTTTTAAGAGCTAACTGACAATTTCAGTCATTTGACATATTTGTAGATCTTATCCTGCTGATAAGTTTTTCCTTTTTAAAGTTTCAATTTATCTATAATAGTTTTTAAGATAATAGGCAAAAAATGCAAAAAATGACTTATATGTGGATCTTGTGTCGCTGATCATTTGTGCTATTTAAATTTCTATCTATCTATTACAGTTTCAAGATGATACGCAAAAATGGGAAAAATCGTCATTAAAGAGCAATAACTTCACTAAGGAGTCGACTTACAATTTCAGTCATGTTTGACTTATTTGTAGATCTTGTCTTGTTGATCATTTTTGCTATTTTAAGTTTCTATTTATCTAATATAGTTTTAAAGATATTAGGCAAAAACACCAAAAAATTAATAAAAATCATCATTACAGGGCAATAACTCTAATAAGGAGTCGACTGAAGATTTGGGCCATGTTGACTTATTTGTAGATCTTGTCTTGCTGATCAATTTTGCATTTTAAAGGTTTTGTCTATCTATTATAATTTTCAAGATAATAGGCAAAAATTTTAAAAGTGGTAAAATTCATCATTTAACATGTTTAAGGGCAATAATGCATATGAGAAGTTGTCTCACAGTTTTGAAGGAAATAAACAATAGGTAGAGCTCAACATTCTGAACATTTTTGCCCCGTCAGATTTTCTCTATTCATTGCGGTTTTCAAAATAATAGGCAAAACTTGCATTTTACCCCCTATGTTCTATTTTTATCCATGTCGGCCATCTTGGTTGGCAAGCGGGGGTCATCGGACACATTTTTTAAACTAGATACCCCAATGATGAGTTTAGCCAAGTTTGGTTAAATTTGGTCCTGTAGTTTCAGAGGAGAAGATTTTCGTAAAAGTAAACAGACGACGGACAACTGACGCCAAGTGATGAGAAAAGCTCACTTGGCCTTTTAGGCCAGGTGAGCTAAAAAACACATAAAAAATACCCATCTGACAGGTGAATATTTTTGTAGATACTTTTTCCATGAACATTTTAACCAGGGCTTCCAAAACGGTCATATATTCCGGACTTGACCGAAACTTTCATAAAAAGACCGGCTGCTCTCAGCCTCAAACGGTCAAATAGAATTGGTGTGCCACATTTTGTTATTCAAGGCATTTTCATGAAACGGTCATTTCAATTTTTACCAACTATCGATCGATAAAAATGTCCGTTTGGGGCTTTGGGCATGGCCGTTTGGGCATTTTAGTTTATAATTGTGGCAATCTATTTCACAAAGATATTTCGGTCATAATTGGGTTTAATAAAACAGAAGCAGCATATTTCAGATACTTTGAAGTGTCTCAGTTAGTCTAATCCTCTGGGTACATAAATGTACGGCTTGGTCTTTAGCTTGTGTACATCAATAAAAAGTAGAAAAAACACGTTTTCTTTTATTTAAATAACAACAAGCTGTCAAACAATTATCCCTTCAATAAGTTATATTGAAGCCATAAATCATTCACTGATTACAGGTTTGTTACCTTTGATGAGGTGTCCTTAGCTTATCTTTATCAATAGAATTAATGATGCATAACAATGTACATAAAGGTAATCCCGTAAACGAGGTCAAACATGTAAGCGTGTATGGAACAACATCCTATTTAATTACGCTTTATAGATATTATTTTAAATGAGCATTCAGTTTTAAAAGTATCCTGATATTTAAAAGTTATTCTTCAAATAAGGATATTTATAAATGAATAAGTATGATATATATTATTTTATTTAACACTGTACATCGTGTTAAATACTGGGGTACTCTCAAGGGGAAAATTTACTAAAATATATAGGAAAAACCAATGGACAAATTTCAGTCAATAAATGATTTAACTAAGTTAAATGGTGCCGTGATCACTTCTAAATTATATCAAGAGAACAATGCCTGCTCCGAATTTATTCAGACAATTTCCGATGTTATAGAGAAAGAGGTGATGTCCGACGTAAAGTTAAGTCCCGCCGTGGGAATTATGATCGACTAAGGTGTAGTCTAGGTATTGACGCTTTAGATCAACTTATGAGGATAAGCTTAGTAGGTGTAGATGTTAAAGACTTTGACCCTGTTCCTGCTATCCGCAAATGGCAATCCGTTCGTAACCGCCATGTTTATCAGAACAATGCATTTAGCAAGCTCATGAATGTAAAATCTTTAATTAGACTAAATGAACTCTAATCTTGTGCTGTGATCTGTGCTTCTTTTCAATGTGCTCATTGTAATATTTATTGCGTGTGTTTGTCAGCATTGTGCTCTTCTGACATTTTATTGTTGTTATATGCTTACATAAAATATCATGTTGTTATTCATTAAATTATTTATCAACTGAGTATGTTTTTATTTATTCCTTATTTTCTAAATCAGGTTGGGAAATTGTACAAAGACAAATGTTATCACTGTTCAGTAGATTTTACACGGTTTAAAACAATATCCTTCATCGGGCCTCCTCAATGTTATCTATAAATACCGCATCAGTTGTAAAAGTCACGTGGTCAGGTAATAAATACACAAAAAGAAAAGTATCACGTGTATTGATGATCAAGTTGTACTGCAATTAAAGCCAACATCAACAGTTTCAAATAAGATGGCCTTAATTTACAAAGTGTTAAGTACTCACAGAGAGAAGATAGATTATATAAACAGAAACAAAAACATGAGAACAGTCAGGTACTGAAGCTGATTGATGCAATGATGGTTACTGTATTACGATACACAGAAAAATGACACAATACCGAGGATAATATTTTATTTATTTTTAGAATGAAGAAAACAAAACAGTTATAAATAATTTTATTGCATATAACACTACTAATTATTTAGACACATATATCAATTTATGCATCCTCTCAGTTACATTTAAGTATCCAGCTGATCATTGACCGTCATAAATAATTCTTTGAAAAATGTCCGGCTGTCGTCAGGAAATTTTGGAAGCCCTGATTTTAACATTTTTTATGAACATTTCATTTGAACCACTTGCATTCAGTATAATACTAAATTGAATATACCTTAACTTTTGCAATTATGGTATATTACAACATTAGAAAATTGTATTACAGAAGAAAACTAAGGCAAATTGTTTTTTTCTCGTGATGCTTTAAAACAAAAATTCAACTACTGGCAGTTTCGTTATAGCAACATTTTAAAAATCTAGGATGTTCACTCCTCATGTTTTTAACTTTTCATGAATATTTAGAAACAACTGTATCAGAAAGCTCATGAAAATGAGAAGTTGCTCATGGTGTTGTGTGTGTGCCTACATGCAGTAATGTTGATTTATATGAAAAATTCCATCCTCATAGGGTATAAAACAAAATCAAAGAATCAATAAATAGGACGTGTTACTGCCCTGCAGATCGGGAAATTGTTTACCAGTTAGATCTCAACATTATAAATGTCCAAACCAAATATCAAATCATTCCCTACTGCAGAGTATAATGGTTTATAACAAGATGTTGAACTATGTTGTCAATTAGATAATTACTTACTTCCTCGTCTAAACCCTGACCACTGTCCAAGTGCAATGCCCCAGTCACCATCATTGTTCTTGATTAAAATAGCTCTTTCAAATTTTACAGGGTCAAGGGTCACACACTTCTTATGATCTGCTACCTACATACATTTTGTAATCAAGTTAAACATTTAACAAATATAGTAATGTTGGATGCAGATTTTTTTTATAAATTCTGTAAAATAGACTCAATACTTTTACTTCAGATATTTTACAACTTGATTATTGCACAAGCCTATACTTGAAGACTAAAAGTTAACTTACAATGCCTGGGATTTTTGTGTAGTCGGGTTGCTGTCCTATTGGCCTATAACCAATATCTCCGTTTTATAATAATTGTTGTTCATGCCTTTTTCATTTCAAGAATGTAACTGTAGGCTAAATTGAATAGTTGTTTGTCGAATAAGTTCCTGAGACCTGGCTGAAGATGAGCATGTACATATATTCATGATATACAAATGTGTATGTCAAATGTTCTCAAGTAGTCGACTTTTACTTTTGTGCATTTTCTCGTACATTTCTGATGTCACAATGCATAGGTTATAAAAAATCACAGTAAGAGTCCATTGTTTAATGACATAATTTACATGGATTGATCTTGGGTCAACCATTGTAACTCATTCATAAAAAAGAATTGGAACCTAATTGATAATTCCCATAAGTTTTTATGAAAAACCTAAAGAGAAACATTTAGCCTTTCTGTTATCATAAATTCCTTGTCAGGTACATGCATGAAGAACATTTTTTTTTACCTGTGAATAAACTGGTAGTTGGTCAGATCCAATCAGCTGGCAAACAACACTAAGCTTATCCTTACAGAAAACATGTATGGCTGACATCAGTAATGGGATACTGTGTATAATACGACATGTAAAGGTTACAGCTCCTGTCATGTTGACAATTCTGAAAATACATGTAACGGTTACTGATAATCAAAGATATATCTAGCTCTGAATAAAAAACCATTTAAAAATGAAAAAAATAGATATATGATGTGTGTTTTGCTCTACCAACTGAATAAAAGTAGATTATATTGAAGACTATTGAAGTATCTGTACTGTTAGTCAGCACTATGAAAGGCATTTAGTCACACTATGAAAGGCATTTATACAGCAATCAAAATGTTTTCCCCAAAGTTGATTTGCACACATGTGTGGATACCAACTTTCTATCATGCCAAATGGTTGCAGAATTGTATTTGTATTGGTCTTTAGAAAATGTTGTGGTTGTGTGTGATAGACAAGTCGAAAATCAGCACAAAACTAAAGAGCTACGGTTTTGCAGCACACCGAAAGTTGGGAATATCTTTTACAAACTCTTACTTTAAAAATCAGATTAACGCTTGATATACTAAAAAGCTTGAAAAGATGCTTTTGAGAGTAGAATTTTCCCAAGTCATATTTTTTGTTGAAAAAAAAAAAATAATATGATGAATATATATCTTAGAAAGAATATTTTCATAATTATTATTAGGACCACAATTAAGAATAATTTCTACCTGTACCTACAACACTTATGGAAGATCATGAAGATGTTTGAAATTGGTTTCAGTCATTTGCAAAGTTGCTAGGTGCACTGGATACCTACATCATGCATCTTTTCAGTTATTTTGGTAGATTTTACAAAACTATTGTGATTTATAAATTCATACTTGTGAGATGCAACTGAGCAGACATTATCTGTACCCTCAGGTAGGTGTGGCAATGTAACAGGTCCCCACAACTGTTCAATGTACTCAGGCATGACACAGGACTGGAAATCCCCCATGTGTAATGTTAATACACATGTACTGAGTGATGTTACTGTTATACCATACTTCATCTCCAGCAATGAACCATCAGAAAGATTGACAATTGTGTCTTCATAAATTTTCTCATCCAATGTCATACATTTTGCCAGTAATGGATTCATTTCCATTTGCCCTTTGACACTCTCTTTAAAGATTCCAATTTTTCCAGATTGCTTGACTTTAACAGTGATGATATCACAAAATCTGGAATCTATATCAAAAACTGATATGTTATGGGTCTCTTTTGTCCATCTGTTTTCCTTTGTTGGCTTTTTCAACTTCATCAGATCAATTCTGATCCCAGAAGTAAATTCTGTACATAATTTAACACCACATATTTTTTTCTTCATACTATTTGCTGATTCTCGTACAACATCTATGCTTAATATTTCAATGTTTGCAATTTTGTGACTACTTTGAAAAACAACATCTTTTGAAACATTGTTAAGCTTTCCATTTGGAGGTAATCCCCTGTACATAGAGGCTATATTAGTAAATTTTTCATTAAACAATTCCTCCCACATATTCTGAGTTTCAGACATGGACCGGCACAATTTTGATCCCTCAGTTCTATCATTGACTGAATCGTCATGGTTGAAGTGCTCTCCAAGTATTAACATTGTATCTGATTTGTATGACAATGGATAAAGCTGATGGGTATGCCATATCAAGTCAATGTCATAACAAGGCACGATAAAACTGTCTGGATAACATCGTTTCATGTGTAGAAACTTCTTGTATCGAATAAGACTGCTTTCCAGAAATTTGTTATCAGTATAATGAGGTAGGGATACTTGATAATAAAACAATCTCTGTCTGCAGACAGCAGCTTCCAAATCATAAGTCAGACATGAAACAAAATCTGATGGAATTTCAAAGGTCATGGGATCATGGTTATAAAATGGTGCATAAGGATACATCTGTTTCCACAGTTGTTCGGCAGTTTTTAATCCTTCTATTCTCTCCTGACCAACCATAAGCTTGTAGCTCAAAATTTTTCCAAATATTTTGTTGCAGTCTCTGGCATAAGACAATGGTGATAGCATGTGACAATGCCATATCCAACATATATCTAATGGCGCTGCTACATGTTGGTGGTCATGGTTATTGACAGCTAACAAGGGAAGCCAACATTTTTCATATCTGTAAAATAAAGATCAGATGTATTAATAGATGACAGGGGTAGTCAAAGCAACTCACATTTATGAAACATAAAAATAAATGTGGATAGTGTCCACATGTGGACACAGATGATGCCCCCGCTTGCATATCATATAGTTATAAAGGGACATAACTGAAGAACGGTAAAACATGTAAAAGTGACGCTACCCAAATTTGAACTTGATCTGAGTTTTGTGGTAATAAGCATTGTGTGTAAGTCTCATAACATTTGGTTGAGGCTAACTTAAGTAGAGAACAGAAACTAAAAATTCAGCAATTTTTCTATTTGTAAACATGCATAACTCTAGAACAGTTGTGTATAAGTTTTATAACATTTGGTTGAGACAAACTAAAGTTAGAGAACGGAAACGAAAAATATGTTTATAAACGGACATAACTCAAGAAAGGTAAAAGTGTCGCCACCAAATTTCGTACTTAATCTGTATTATGTAGTAATAAGCATTGTGTATAAGTTTCATAACATTTGGTTGAGGCAAACTAAAGTTAGAAAACAGAAACAAAAAATTTGTACTTGATCTTAGTTTTGTGGTAATGAATATTGTGTATAGGTTTCATAATGTTTGGTTGAGGCAAACTTAAGTTACAGAATGGAAACTAAAAATTTTGCAATCTTTCAATTTATAAAGGGACATAACTCAATAATGGTTAAAGTGACACTACCCAAATTCAACTTGATCTGTGTTTTATCAATGGAAGTCAAATTTAAACATTGCATTGTATAAAGCATTGATTGTAGTTGATTCAACTATAATCATGGACAAAGGAAGATAACTCCAATTCTAAAAATTACTTGATATTTAGAAATAATTAAAAATTTTGCAATTTTTCGATTTTTAAAGGAGCATAACTCTAGAACTGTTAAAGTGACGCCACCAAAATTCATACTTGATCTGTGTTTTGTGGTAATAAGCATTGTGTATAAGTTTCATAATATTTGGTTGAGGCAAACTGAAGTTAGAGAACGGAAACTAAAAATTTAGCAATTTTTCCATTTGTAAAGGGGCATAACTCTAGAACGGTTAAAGTGACGCCACCAAAATTCAAACTTGACCTGTGAATTGTGGTAATAAGCATTGTGTATAAGTTTCATAACATTTGGTTGCGGCAAACTCAAGTTAGAGAATGGAAACCAATTTTGGGACGTACGGACGTACGCCGGCAGGGGCATAAATAGCTAAATAAACACATGTATAGATATGCATGCAAATAAATTATCAAATTAACAGACAACTAACAATTAAGAAAACTTAAAACCTATGAATATCTGTAATATAAAGATGAGAATTACCAACAGATCCAGTAAGTACATATAGGATTTATTGTCAGCTATATTGTAACAGAGGCAGCATATACCTGATATATCCCTGTTGAATAAATTTGATAAAAATCTGGCATGAAGTGTACACATTAGAGTTGGTTGACCGTTATGGAATATCCATTTCACAGATGATAGCGGATATGTTTCTAATGTCGTAACTACATGTACAATCCTGTTCCCTTTTCATGAATGTGACCTACCGAATTAGACTATTTACTGGGTTTGTACTAACATGAGCAGTATGACGGGTGCTACATGTGGAGCAGGATCTGCTTACCTTTCAGGAGCACCTGAGATCAGTCCCAGTTTTTGGTGGGGTTCGTGTTGCTTAGTCTTTAGTTTTCTATGTTGTGTTTTGTGTACTATTGTTCATGTCTGTTTGTCTTTTTCTTTTTTAGCCATGGCGTTGTCAGTTTATTTTCGAATTATGAGTTTGAATGTCCCTCTGGTATCTTTCGACCCTCTTTTTTAGAGCCTTTACAATGCAATTTTCCATATAATTAATTATTTCCAAGGGCATTACTCTTTTAAAAATAATTGATCTGCACTAATTTTCGAACTATCTGAAACATTCCTGATATAAAGATACCATATAAGCTTTATAAAAATCTGGCAAGAATTGTACATCTGAGAGCGCTAACAAGACTATTTAGACAGATGAACAGATGAACAGACAGACACCCGGTATTTCTATGTTTTATGCAACGTATCCCATGGGGGGGGGACAATAAAGATTAGAGTTACCAACAGCCGAAATGACAGTTAAAACATCTCAGATCTAGTATGTAGTGTAAATACATATAAGATTAATGGAAAGCTAATGTACTCTTCAACTCCGTACTTTATTTGGCCTTTTTAACATTTTTTGGTTCGAGCGTCACTGAGTCTTTTGTAGACGAAACGTGCGTCTGGCGCAAATACAAAATTTCAATCCTGGTATCTATGAGTTTATATACATGTAGGTATTCATTAAACCACTTAAATCTCTGAATAAAGATAAAAGTTACCTACAAACAACACTGGCAGCAAAAACTAGCATCATATCTATAAAATCAGAGAATTTACATCATGATATAAGTGTAGTACACAGTTACAGGTATATTTAGACAGCACAAGCTAAAAAGCTCATACATCTATTGAAGATCATCGCTGTTACTGACAGCTGACACGGAAAGGCAAGACCCTTAAAGCTCTCACATATATAAAATCTCTCTTGGATTTGTAAATAAGGATATATGTGTAACAGACAGGAAAGAGGAGCAGACAACTAAATATGAAACCTTTTGTCAGATAAAGGTCAGACATACAGAAAACTAACGGGGGAGTCAAAAAGCCCCTCATTTCTGAAAAATAAAGTTTCCAGTTACTGAAAATAACTACTGCCAGGGAGAAGCCAAAAATATCTCATATCTGTAACCATGGCAAAATAAAAATCAAGTTATTATGTCTATAACGTCAATAAGGGACAGTCAACACTTACTTCTAATATCCACAGACTCTTATAATAATTTCTACATGTATGCTTTAACAATTATAATATGAAATTTGTTAAAGGCTACTGCTTTTGTTACAATATAAAATTTACCTAAAAATAGCTTGTCTAACAATCTCCCCTTCATAAAGATTTGCTTCTTTGTCAACAAGATGCAGGAACTCTACTTGTTTTTTGGCTGCCTCTACCAAATCAACATCAAATGCTATATCTTCATGTCTTAAATTTGAAGTCATCTTGATTGGTTTTACACACTAATTAATGCTGTATTATCTGATTTCAAAATCATCCTACAAAATAGAATTATTGCACATATACACAAATGGTAATCAAATCACATCTCCTTATTCATCTATATACAACCAGATAGGAACCCGCCAATATGAGGGTACAATAAATGCTTTAAATAGATACTTATGCATACAGTATACATGTATATAGAGTACTCTGCATACATTTGTTTATTAAGACCATTTAATCCTTTTAAAACAATGAAAACAGAACTTGTCTACCTAACAAAATCTAGCTAGACACTGCAGAAGACAAAATGTACAACTATATTGTTATTAAGTGAACAATTTCCCTGTTTACTCAGTAAACAAATCTAACAGGGATGTCCTGTTACATGTAAATGCTTTAAAAACTTTATGTGTTCCTATTACATATATATTTTGTAAAAAAAACATCGGGCCACATTAAACTAAATGTTTTCTCTGTTATATAAACTTGATCAAGAAAAATGCTTTAAAAGTGTTAATTAACTATTATATATTTGTTATTTCAAAATTTTAGCAACTTATAATTAACAATGAATGTAATCTTGAAAAGTTTTCTATAAAAAGTCATCCTCAGGTCATCACCTATAAACTGTCAAGGGCATCATTGAAACAGTTGATTTTTTTTAATTACACCTTATGTAAGAATCCTGGGTTTTGATTGGTTGATAGCCAGTGTATTTTTCACCAATTTACTTTTATCAAATAAATATTGTTCATTTTTAAACAGCGCCGGGGTATATGCAAAAAGGATATGCCTTTTTTACCCTCTCTGCCGTGGTATTTGCCAAAAAATACTCTATCCGACTGGACGCTTGTAATGTCACGATCATCAATGGGTTTTATGTCACGATCATCAATGCGTTTTGTACGTTAACATTTGGTGTAATTAAACAGATATAGCATGTTCTTGAGGGGTATTTGCGAAAAATACCAGTCTTGAGAATGAATTTCCCTCGCCTTACGGCTCGCGAAATTTAACATTCTCTCGACTAGTATTTTTCGCAAATACCCCTTCTTAACATGATATATCTGTTCATAAATAACTTCAAATGGTTACTTGTTTTTTTATTATTAAATAACTGGAAAAGGTATCTTCTGTTATAATGCAAAGTAACCAAAGGCAGTTATTAATTTGGGGCTTTCAAGGGACATAACTCCAGGAAATCTTGAAAATAAAGTTTTAGTTTTAGTTATTCATAATCCATTGTCAATATTTATCGGGAAATTAATTCAATGTTTATTTCTTTTAATTAGTATCTGATCTACATTTACATGTATAGACATACACAAATGTATAATACTTATACTATTTGATTTTATAGGTATTTTCAAGATCTTCAAGATAATGTGGCTATAATTGCACTGTCAATGATGATAATATCATGAATGTGTCTGAAATATAACTTTAATTTAATATCCCAAGGGTGTTGGTATTTAGAGACTTTGCAAGTTCTTTAGTTACTATGATGGCATTGGCATGGAATATAATAAAGAGATGAAGTGTCAGTCCACATGGAATAATTCTTGGTTTAATGGGGGAAAATATATGAACTGAGAATGGTTTATTGGGGGGAAATATAAGAACTGAGAAATCAAATACAGAAAAATTGTCAAAAATATCCAAAACTTCAAAAATTAAGCTATAACTACAACTTACTGAAACCAGTTAATTAAAAATAATCGTTTTCAATGATGTCCCTGACTGTCAACTCAATCTAGATTTTGACCTTGCCTATACTACTTACTTGTTTATTCATTAGTCCCCTAGTTATATATAGCCTACTATGTGCAAGTCTAACTACATGTATGTATAATAGTTAGAAGTTTATTGATATTTAAAATAAGTATTTTTCAGCACTTGATTTGTGTTGATGGTAAAAATGGCAAATACCATATGTCATGTATGTCATAAATGTGCGTTTCTTCATTATTTGATTTTAAAAAATTTTGGAAACTTTTTTCATTGTCTATCCTTGTTTAAAAATTACTTTGGAGACTTGAAAAATATTCATTTTATTTATTTCAACATGTTCAGCTGACAACTGACAGCAGATCTGTAAATTTCAACATGTTTAATATTTTTATAAAAAAAAATAGCTTTTAAAAATTGGCAGTACTAGTTTTTTTATGGATGTGTTTTAGTGTTTATGAGTATTTTATGCCTGTCTAGCTCAAATATGTACATAACATGTTAAGGTTTTTGAAAATAATGCAATGATGCAAAATAACTCAAACTAAATCAAACAATGCCTAATCTTAGTACATTGTTGTTCCATATCTATAACCTGCAGAACCACTAAAGATCACTAAAGGAGAAATATCTTAAGTGAGGAGTCAAATCATATTCTATTATTAGTTGCTGCAGATCCATATTTGTTTATGACTGTACCCAACTATTAAGGTGAAAATAGTACTATGTCACTTTTATCATACTTCAAATTTGCTTAGACATGTAATAAACCAAAGTCTTTCACATATAAATGCCTAATTTTGTGTATGTATAATGCATTCTTATTGTTTTTATGGTGTGTAGCTACATGTTTTTATCATGTTTATATCAGAGACACATATATATATATACACATGTCTGTATATATTCAGTCAAGGATTTGTATACAAATCCTTGATTCAGTCAATATAGCTCTTTCGATCTTGTGTTGCATAGAATATAGTTTTATAAATGCCAAATCAAAATAAAATTTGGTTATTATTATTCTGATAAAACAACTTACAGTCGTAAATATTAATGCAGAAGTATATGTCCTAGTTAATCACTAAGAGCAAGGATTTGAATAGTGATACAAATCCTTGCTAAGATGTATATATATATATAAACTAATTAGTTTCTTGCCTAATTTTGTTCATCGCTTGCAAAATACCTTCTTCGTAAGACGCATAAATAATTGACCGAACTATGAACCCACCTTCATCTGATATGATTTTTACCTGTTGCTTTATGATTATATCATGATGGATTTTTGTTTATGTCTTTCATCACCTGATCACTCATCCATGGATCAAATGTTCATGGTTTATCCGCATTTGTGCCGGGTCTTGTAATTATTTCCGAGAATTACCTCCCCTTTATATGAGGTTTTTGGCTGTCAGTTCTGTTAGTTGTAAAAAGGACCGCAAATTTCCATTAGAGACTTCTACAAGGTTTTAAAAAAACTATTATTCTCATTTTTCATACGGTAACAAACATGTCATCGATCGAGATAACAGTTAACTTCTTCTGTCTGTGTTTTTGTAAGCGTATTTTTATTCCGCCGTGTATTTATTCCGGGTAACTGTTATTCACTGGAGAATATAATTTGGATGTAAATAGTGTGAAAGCGTCGATCTTGATATCGTTGTTTTGTGTTTATATTAGACCGGTTTGTTGTTTGCATAAATAAATGGGTTGAAATTAGAATGATTTTCAAGGAACCAGTTTAATTAATCTGAGTCGATCCAGTAAATAATATTGATGATAATGAGGATGATATTTTATAACTCAAAATACTTTATCAATGATCAGGACATTGAACTTGATATAAACCAAATTTAAAGAGCAGATTTGTTTTACATAAATTTTAATTATAGAAGCATCCTTTGATATTGACATAGAAGATATGATTTTATATCAAACATGTCTAAGTCAACCAAAAAGCAAAAACACAGAAAAACTTCAGCAATCCAATAAATATGAATATTACAATAAGTGACAATTTAAAAGCATATGATTTTATAGATTTGCATAGAAAAATTAGTTAAATCTTATTCATTAATAAGCATTATTGTGTTATCGTGTTTTCAAAATGAGTATTAATCACTTCATCAATGTATGGATCTAAAGCAGTAGTGTAATTAATCCCGGTATAAAATAACTAGTGCAATCATTCCGGTACAAAAACACTAGTGGGAACATTCCTTGGATGAAAACTCTCCACTTTTTACATAAATCAACTATGCACATGATGCAAGTTTCAAATACACTAAAAACTACTAAGCCACATTTTATATATACATTTGTATTTCCCCTTCGAAAAAACTCTTTTTAAAACCTTATAATGACTTGTGGATGTTTTACACTGGACCCGGATAGAAAAACCTAGTGAATTTTTGTTAGTGGATAAAAATCACTGGGGATTTTCTTCCTCCGGATACACTGGCGGAATCAAACTACTGTTACATTTTCAACTAATGAATAAAATAGGACGGCAAAACAGACAAATAAATTCTAAGGAAAACAGTAATATTACAAAATAAAACAATTCAATATATTAAATTCCGTGAAATGTAATCCTATTATATTTTTTTCATATTTTTATGTGCATTATTTTGTTGTTATATTTGAGAATCATACTAAAGAAAAACAGTACTACCAGCAATCATTTTTTTACGTATTCAAATATATTCCATTGTATATTATCAAGGAATTGTATATTTAAATATACAATTCCTTGATATACACCTCATCGCTATTTGTCCGCCATTACTGGACATCACAAAAGTTCCCGTAAAATTTTGACGACATAATAGGAAATATCTGACGCCACAATGGAAAAGTGATTGTTGTATGACGTCAAAAGTTCAAGCGGGACAGATTCTCGGGTTAAGCGGGAATAGCGATAAGGTGTTTTATCTTACTGTTAAGGAGGTACATTGTATTTCCTAAAACACAGAATAGCGGAACAATTACAAATTACAGAACATATTAGCTTAGTGTTCCTGAAATATCAGTTTGTTCCGTTGTTTAAATATATAACTTTAAATAAATAAAAAATACAGTTCTTTTTCCATCATTCAGTTGTACAAGAAGGACAGTAGATTGTTTCTGTGCCAGATTTGGAAATCCCAAAACATTCTGGATAAATAAAAATGAAAACAGTATATGCGTTTCATGTAGCTGGTGTTTTATTGTCTGGCAGTTTGTAGTAGTCTTGGTTGATGAAAAGACTGAATGTCTAAAAGGAGACACAGCACTAAATAGGCATCCCATTAAATATAAATTTTCCCAATATTGCTATGATGCTCATTGTATATAACATTAAGTACTTTACAATAAAACATGAAAAATAACTTTTTTCTATCTATTCAATACCAAATAAGAAAAATAATTCAGTTTCAAATATCATGATTATTGTTGCCAAAACAGGACAATATTTACAAACTTCTTTGTATACACAGTCAAGGACTGGAACACACTGTCTATTGGATATGGCCACAGCAAAGTCAACACTACTTAATAACAATATCAGCAATATTGTTTTTAATTTTGTGCAACTTTCCAGAATATTCATACGTCACACTGTATGTTGAATATGAATCCGTTCACCCTAATTCCTGTTCGCACTGAGTCCGTTCGTCCTGATTTCTATTTTATTATGTTGTCCATATAATATAAATTATTTGAATTAATTTTGTTAAAGTTTGTTGAAAATTCCGCCGAATATTTATGTTGTATTGCTGCTATCAGATAATTATTTTTTTTTTTTATTTGCATTGAATATTCTTGCCAGAATATTCATCATGTTGAATGTGGGCAGTATTTTGCAGAAACTGGAGACCAAGTTATCTGTATGAATTTATCTTTTTTTGAAACCTTGTAACAATTACAAAACAATCTAAACAGGCATATCAAGATCCAACTCACTCAACACCTTGAGATTAAAGAAGCCAAGCGGCGAAAACAATTTCCCTTTAACAATGTTTAATGTCTTACATCATTGTTTTAATTTTCATTATTAATACATCAAAAACAATAACTACAACAATCAGTGAGATCAAAGACATGATAATCATACCTAATCAGCATTGAATTTTCGGAATACTAATGCTTTTCCACCCCAGGAATAGATTACCTTAGCTGTATTTGGCAAAACTTTTTGGAATTTTGGGTCCTCAATGCTCTTCAACTTCGTACTTTATTGGGGCTTAACTTTTTTTATTCGAGCGTCACTGATGAGTCTTTTGTAGACGAAACGTGTGTCTGGCATACAAAATTTCAATCTTGGTATCTTTGATGAGTTTATTTACAAATGTACCATCAACAGTCATTAAAAGTAATTCTGAATAAAAACAAATGTACAATGAAACCAATTAGCCTGATTAATGCTCCAAAACAAAAACCTTTTTTTTTTTATTCCAATGTTTATTCATGAATTTGCAGAGAGATATATATTTTTAATATTTCTAATTTAAATATCTGAATAAGATTATAAAACCTTAAATTAAACCATTAATATTAAATTTTTTTATAAAAATTAGGCCGATCGGACTCTATGGGCAAACGAACTCAGGGCAAACGGACCCAGGGCAAATATGTGATTAGGACGAACGGACCAGATACCGTTGAATATGGGCAGTAACTATACAATGAAGAAGCTTGTCTTTCAGTAGTAGTCTCCATTGCTAAACAAGCTTGACCAATTTTTATACGACCGCAAAAATTGAAAATTTTTTGGTCGTATATTGGTATGACGTCGTCGTCGTCGTCCAACGTCGTCCGAAGACACATTGGTTTTCGCACTCTAACTTTAGTTTAAGTGAATGGATCTCCATGAAATTTTACCATAAGGTTCAATACCACGAAAGGAAGGTTGGGATTGATTTTGGGGGTTATAGTACCAACAGTTAAGGAATTAGGGGCCAAAAAGGGGTAAAAAATAAGCATTTTTGTAACTTCCAGACAATAACTTGTGTGTAAGTGTATGGATCTCTCTGATATTGTACCACAAGGTTTCATATCACAAAGGAAAGGCTGTAATTGATTTTGGGGGTAATTGCCTCAAAATTTTAAGAATTAGGGGCCAAAAAAAAGGGGCAAAAAACAAGCATTTTTCTAGTTTCATGACAATAACTTGTGTGTAAGTGTTTGGATATTTTCTGAAATTGTACTACAAGGTTCCATATCACAAAGGGAAAGCTGGAATTGAGTTTGGGGGTAATTGCCCGAAACGTTTCGGAATTGGGGGCCAAAAAGGGGCCAAAAATAAGCATTTTTCTATAGTTTCCAGACAATAACTTGTGTTCAAGTGTATGGATCTCTCTGAAATTGTACTGCAAGGTACCATACCACAAAGGAAAGGCTGGGATTGAGTTTGGGGGTGATGAATCGTAAGGGGGTTCAAAAAATTGGGGGGGGGGGGATTTTTTTTTTCTTTTTTTTTCTTTTTTTCCTTTTTTTTTCTTTCAAAATTTTCCATTTTAAGTTGGTTATTTCTGATTATTTATATTTAAAAGCAAATAATAATGATATGGTAGGAGATACACACCAAACAGGATGTGTAAATTATTATATAATAAGTATTGTACAATAGCAAGAAATTTTCAATTGCACAGTATTGCACAATAGCAAGAAATCTTCAATTGCACAGTATTGCGCAATAGCAAGAAATCTTCAATTGCACAGTATTGCGCAATAGCAAGAAATATCCAATAGCACAATATTGCGCAATAGCAAGAAATTGTCAATTGTACAGTATTGCGCAATAGCAAGAAATATTCAATTGCACAGTATTGTGCAAAAGAAGATACTTCCTATAATTTGCTTATTTCTTGATCAATTTCAATGGGGTTTTATTCTTGAATTCTTGGGGTTCTTAAATATGCTGAATCTAACCGTGTATTAAGTTTTTGGATTTTGGGCCCCATTTTTAAATTGGTCCACATTGAGGTCCAAAGGACCAAAATTTAACTTTGTTTGATTTCATCAAAAATTGGAATTATTGGGGTTCTTTGATATGCCGAATCTAACCGTGTATTTAGATTCCTAATTTTTGGTTCCGTTTTCAAATTGGTCTACATAAACGTCCAAAGGGTCCAAAATTAAACTTAGTTTGATTTTAACAAAAATTGAATTTTTAGGGTTCTTTGATATGCTGAATCTAAACATGTATTTAGATTTTTGATTATTGGCCCAGTTTTCAAGTTGGTCCAAATCGGGGTCCAAAATTAAATTTGTTTGATTTCAACAAAAATTGAATATATGGGGTTCTTTGATATGCTGAATCTAACCATGTATTTAGATTTTTTATTTTTGGGCCCCGTTATCAACTTTGTCCACATTGAGATCAAAAGGGTCCAAAATTAAACTTTGTTTGATTTCATCAAAAATTGAATTCTTGGGGTTCTTTGATATGCTGAATCTAACCATGTATTTAGATTTTGGATATTGGACCATAAAAGGTGAATGTCCAATTTAAAATTTTTAAGTTCTTAGACCACATTCATTCTGTGTCAGAAACCTATGCTGTGTCAAATATTTAATCACAATCCAAATTCAGAGCTATATCAAGCTTGAATGTTGTGTCCATACTTGCCCCAACTGTTCAGGGTTCGACCTCTGCGGTCGTATCAAGCTGCGCCCTGCGGAGCATTTTATTTGTTTTGTGTATTCTCAAAATGAAATGTAGTATAAAATTAAATAAGCAACCCAAAAACATGAACAAGACATGTCAACATGTTTGCTTTCCACATTATGTGTATTGAACAATGATTCCAGGTTGGGCTAGGAATATCTCGCTGTAACATTTGGTTACATGCTCAAGTCAGTCAGGATTAATACTTATACATTTATTTTGATTATTATTTACAGGTACAGGTAACTCAATTTGGAGGTAGAGTTATATCCCTTAGACATTCAGATTTTTTTTCACTTATGTAGTTGTACATGTAAGTAAAAAAGTCTTATTCCCCTTTTCTTGAATTTTAGATTGATTACATTGCTATAACATGTATAACAAAGAGAGTCTTCTTTATTAAAATAAGGAGATGTGGTATGATTGCCAATGAGACAACTATCCACCCAAGTTCAAATGAAGTGAATGTAAGCAATTATAGGCAACCGTATGGCCTTCAACAATGAGAAAAACCCATACTGTATAGTTGGCTATAAAAGGCCCGACATGAAAATATGAAACAATTCAATTGAGAAAACTAATAGCTTTATTTATAACAAAACAATTTACGAAAAACAAATATGACAGACATGAACCAACGACAACCACTGAAGAACTACAATCTCCTGACTTTGGACAGGCACATTGTCTGTTATCTTCAAAATACTGCTCTTTACAAGCCTCCAGGGAGCAATTTTTAAAGGCCTTGACAGTTATTTAATATCTGTGCACCGGTGAGTACTTTCTTTAGTATTTGAGATAAAAGGTTGAACTCTATTTAAAAAATTTTGCTGTGGCATGTTTGACCTCCAAAACTTGAGAATTAAAGGGGTTGTAAAAAAAAATACTTGTATAAGTAAAATTTGGAGAAGATTAAGGGGAGATTATTCAAACTTTAAAAATATAATAAAAATCTTAAAAATTAATTATACAAATAAATATTAGTTTAATTCTTACATCTTTAAGTAGGTAAACATGACTTGTATAAGTATTACCCCTGACTGATGGTGAATATCATGTTGAATAAAAATGAAATAAAATAAATGCAGTTATGAAATTACTTGTGTTATAAACTTTAATATTACATTTTAAGCTATAGAATACTTTACTAAACATTGGTTATTATTTTCCTATCATTACAGGAGAATAGTCGTTTCTAGATTTTGAACAAGAAGCATGGCAACACCCATGCAGTTTGACATGAATGAGACAGATGAAGCTAGACCCTATGTTTGTCAGATTTGTAATAAACGGTTCACACAGAAGGGCCATCTAATGACCCACAGGAGAACACATACTGGGGAAAAACCTTACTCATGTCATATCTGTAATAAAAGGTGAGGGCTTTCCTACTGCTAATAAAGAAATGGAATGTATGTCACTTAAGAGCATACTATACAGTTTTGGTTTCACAGTGATTTTTTGACTAAATTTTCATACAAGCTATTTTTCACCTAGTCAATTCAAAAATGATTTAAAAATATACCTTTATGTGCTACTTTTAGAGTTCAATGGGGTCAACATATTAAACATTTTACTAAAATTTCCGTTTCTTTGACATTTCTATCCTTAAGACAGACATGCCTATTTTGTTTCAAAAAATAAACACCAGTGGATTTTTGTAAGAACATTTGGAATATCTTCTTTACATAAGTATGCAAAAGTATGCTCTAAATTTGTCACACAATTCTTTGGAAATAATTCATTTTCATTAAATTTTAAGATTTTAGAAAAAACAGCATTTATTATCTAATTTTATAAAAAAAAAAATTATGAAATTGGTACAAACAATCTTGTATAAGTCATTACCTCCCCTGTAACTGTATTGTATGTCCTTAACATGAATGAGAAATCAGCAATAAATTGCGTAAAACAGAATTTCTCAGGCTGTACAACATGTAAACACCTTTCAACACAATCAAAGTCATCAGATATTTGTCTTCACCAACATCAATTCAAACAATCTAGTTTAGTGATCCATCTTGCTGGATTAGGTGATCAGCCTTAATGATAAAATATGAAATACTGTTATCTTACCCTTAATCCTTTTATATCAAATTATTGCATGTACATGTACATTAGTACTGTACATAAATAGTATGGAACATATACACAAGGGAATGAAACATGTCTCTCATTCTACCAAAAACGAGAAATACAGTTGTGAATTAGACTTCTAATTAATTTATACAGTAAGTCAAAGGGACACAACCAGCACCTGAACTGTAAATTCCTAAAAAAATATCTTGTGTTTTTAACTGACCTGGCACACAGAGCCAAGTAAGCTTTTCTTATCACTTGGCATCCATCTTCGTCGGCCTGGGCTAAATTTAAAAAAACTTTGGCCACAATCATCATAGGAGTATCTAGTTCTAAATGTCTCTGATGACCCAGCATGCCAACCAACATGGCTGACATGGTTTAAAATAGAATATAGGGGGAAAATGCAAGTTTTGTATATGATCTTGAAAAGCATTTTGAATAGAGAATTTCTGACAGGTGCAGAAATGTTCCGAATGTTAAGATCTAAATTCTGTCCATTTACATCAGAACTACCCTTAAGTGAAGAATTTTACCTTTTTTTATACGCCCGTATATGGGACGTATTATTGTATACTGTTGTCCGTCCGTCTGTTTGTCCGTCCATCATCATCATGTCGGACAATAATCCGAAAATGCTCTAACCAATTTTCATGAAACTTTGATGAATTGTTTATATCTATTGACGTAAGCTCCCTTTCGATTTTTATAAATTTTAGATTTTACGTTTCCGAATAATTGGATTTTATTCATATAAAATGGGGGATTTTCCAGTTTTCTGACTATAACTCAAAAATACTTTGAACAATTTTCATGAAACTTTGGTGACTGGTTTATAAATTTCTGATATGACATTGAGGAGTTATGGAACTTTATTTATTAAGAAAGCAACGGGCGTATCATGCGCTCAATGAGCAGCTCTTTATTTTCATTTTTGCCTGCTATCTTGAAAATTATAACAGATATAAATAAACTTTATATTTAAAAAAGGATCAGCAAGACAAGATCAGCAAATATGTCAAACAAGGCCAAAATGTTGAGGTGACTCCTTATTGGAGTTATGCCTTTAATGACAAATTTTACCAATTGTTTACCTTTTTGCCTAAATGCTTAGAAACTGTAATTTTTTTGATAGACAATGATCGATAGAAACTTTAAAAAGCAAAAATGATTAGTAAGACAAGATCTACAAATAAGTATTATGGCTGAAATGGTCACTGGACTCATGATCATTATTGGAGTTATTGTTCTATAATATTGAATTTACAAATTTTTTTCCCTATTATCTTAATAACTGTAATTGATAGATAGAAACTTTTAGAAGCAAAAATTATCAGCAAGACAAGATCTATGAATAGGTCAGTATAGCCAAAATTGTCTTCAGTTGACATAGGTGTTGTTGCCCTAAAATGATGGTTTTTACACTTATTTGCATTTCTGGCAAAAAAAACTATTGAAGATTTTGAGAAAGTGTAAGCAAAAAGAATCAGTGGTAGATATGGGGGCATGGGGCGTAGAGGGCATATTCCCTTTTTTCTGTAATTGCGCCCCTATTTTAATTTTCCTAGATCTGCCTTGGAAAATGGTCAGCAAGATATAATCAACAAATAGGTCAACAAAACCGAAATTATCAGTTTTTTGGGAATTACTTACCTTGAATGATGATTTTACCCACTTTTGTGCTTAGGGCAAAAACTATAGTAAAAGGAGAGAAAAAAAACAGAGAAAAAATATGAGCAATATGTGGGATGACCCCCCTGCCATCTGCCAACCAAGATGGCTGACATGGCTAAAAATAGAACATAGGAGTAAAATGTAAGTTTTGTCTATTATTTTGAAAACCACTATAAATAGAGAAAATCTGACAGGGGTAGAAATGTTCTAAATGTTGAGCTCTACCTTTTATTTATTTAAAACTGTAAGACAATTTCTTATCGGAGTTATTGCCCTCAAATGACGAATTTTAATACTTTATTTTTCATTTTGCCTAGACAAGATCTTCAAAGAAGTCACATAGCTGAAATCGTCAATAGACTCCTTATTAGAGTTATTGCCCTTTTATGATAATTTTTACCATATTTTTGCATTTTTGCCTAAAATCTTAAAAACTACAGTAGACTGTGAGAGAAACTTTAAACAGCTAAGTGATCAGCAAGACAAGATCTACAAATAAGTCTAATAGCCGAATTCTTCAGTCGACTGATTATTGAAGTTATTGCTCTTTAATGGCGAATTTTACCAATATTTGGTGTTTTTGCCTTCTATCTTGAAAACTATAAAACATAGATAGAAACTTTAAATTACCAAAAAATGATCAGCAAGACAAGATCTACAATCGAGTCAAATACTGCCAAAAAAGTTAGCAGATAGGAGGGATTGACCTTAAATGACAAATTTTTGTTTACCCTCTTGTGTTTTGGGCAAAAACTAAATAAGATAGAGAGAAACTGTAAACAGTAGTCTACAATGTTGAAGATGCACATAGACCTAGGTGAGAGACACAGGCTTTTTAGAGCCTCTAGCTACTTTACACACTTTATATATAAAAATAAGAAGATGTGGTATGATTGCCAATGAGACAACTCCCTTCAAGAGACCAAATGACACAGAAATTAACAACTATAGGTCACCGTACTGCCTTCAACAATGAGTAAAACCCAAACTGCATAGTCAGCTATTAAAGGCCCCGAAATGACAAATGTAAAACAATTCAATTGAGAAAACTAACGGCCTGATTTATGTACAAAATAATGAAAAAAAAAAAAATATGATATATATATACAGCAACAAACGACAACCACTGAATTACAGGCTCCTGACTTGGGACAGGCACAAACAGAATGTGGCGGGGTTAAACTAGTTTGAAGGCTCGCCAACCCTCCCCTAACCTGGGACAGTGGTGTAACAGTACAACATAAGAACAATCTATAAAAATCAGTTCAAAAGGACTTAAATCATCAGATCGATACAAGGCAGAAATATGTCTAACAAAAACACAAATTTATGTTTGCATATTAGGTGACTTCTAGCAGAAAATGGTAAGGACATTACTCTTGTGTATGAGCTTAAAAATGTGACATTTTTTCTTTGTTTTATATTATAACATCAATAATTTTTTGCAGATTCTCACAGTCATCACATCTTAACACACATAAGAGAATACATACTGGAGAAAAGCCCTATTATTGTACAGAATGTGGTATGGGATTTTGTCGAAAAAGAAGGCTTGAAAAACACATTGTCTTACACAATCAGTTTGTAAATATTAACTCAAAAATTAATAATTTGCAAGGACTTTTACAGCCATCAGTGTCAAAAGAATCATCACAACCTCTATTTCCAAACAGATTAAGTTCAAGTGATTTTCCTGTAGATAATGAAAGTTCACAGGGTCATAAAAGGAAACCTGCTCTAGTACAACACATAAATACTAACCAATTTGAAGACACAAATGAGGATAGGGGAACAGAAAGGGTTGTTATAAAACTAGAAGAAGATAACATTGAAAATTTAACAGAACAGAATCAGCTTCCAGAATCAAAAATGAAGGGAGATAATCCCGAGCAGACGATGGGAGAAATTGATCTGACTCAAATAACACCACCCTATGATGGTGAGGGAGATAATAGTGAAATAGTAGGTGGGGATTTTAATAATCTTGGAAGTTTGTCGGGCGATGATTTGGATTTGGATAGAATAAGTCTTACAAGTGAGAGTAACATGTCTGAATCAGAACAAAATCACCCTCAGTTTTCATCTAGACATGGAATGGGTTTCAAAGGTTTCCGAGGATTTGGACGAGGGAGACCAATGTGGCATAGGTTTAAAATGAGAAAACTTAATCAACTTGAAAATAGAATAGATCGATGTATTATGACTTTACCACAAACACAGTCAAATGATACATCTGCACAAATTTTGTCTAATAATCGAGTTAACTTGGTTAATTTTACAAGTTCTGATTTATTGACCCACATGATGTCAAGAGATGATGTATATAAATGTGATTTTTGTTGTATGATTTTTCAGGATGCCGCGATGTACCATCTTCATAAAAGCATGCACGATAAAATGGATGTTAGGTGCTGTAACTTGTGTGGTAAAATGGCACAAGATAAATATGATTTTATAGCTCATTTCCTTAGTGAACATAAATAATGTCAGTTTGTCTTTGTTTTTTTATTCATTTACCATAAATTGATTTTCTTTTTTTTCTGTGATGCTCCATTGGTTTGAATCAAGTCCACTTGATTGATTGATTAAATTGTTGGTTGCTTAACATCAAGTGGAAGCCCTACATGAGGGTCTGGATGGGGGAAAGGGGGGGTCCTTCATTCCTTTATTCTTTAATTATTTAGGTCGATTTTCTCTAGTCTTTATCTTCTTTGTCCATTATTGTGTATTCTTTATATTTCAGCTCCCCATTATTCTCTATTCTTTTTTTTTGGCCTATTTTTCTCTTCTTTATTTTTTAGGCCCTTTTTTCTGCACCTTTTTCCCATTAATCTCTTTTCTGTAGACCCCTTCCAGACCCTCCTACATGAAATTGCATCTTGTCATCTCATCTTTCTATCAGTTTATCTAAACTATGCTAAGCAGGAATAAGTTATTGAATTTTTTTTTATAATCATGATCATATAGGTTGCACTTTGTAAATATAGCTGTTTCACAAACCACATCTATTTTGGGGAGATATATAATATTCATAGATATTTTGTTTTGTTTACGTACTGCTTCCCAGATATGATCTCTATGTTTCATCTCATAGAGACATAACTTGGGAATGTTACCAGTATAAATACACATGGATAGCGGCGAAATTAAAATCTGAGGAGGACCAAAAGTGAAGAAGGGGAGTACAAAATTTAAGTATAAGTTTAAACTCTTAGAAGTTCGGGGCATATAAATGTTGAAAATATGCCGCACAGCCCTATATTTTGACCTTTGAAAAAAATTGTAGCACATTTGAACTTTCCATTCTAGGATATAATTTTTTATGAAACTTCATAGTAAAAGTGGCACAGTTGTAGCTGTAAAAGGAGTTCCTATGGGAAATTGCATTGTCTATATTTACAGAAGAGCAACCTATAGACTCCTTGTTCAATTTATGTCAGGAGAAAACATGGCATCTACAGGCAATTATTGATTAAGTTTTATCAATTTTCAAATATCTTCTGTAAAATCAACTTCAACGATAAATCGTTATTGATTTTATATGAAAGAAAAATTGAAGATCTGTTGCAACTAATCCTAATTCATAATGATTTTATGGCATAGATAATCAAGATAGTTGCAGTGATGATACTATCAACCCACTTATGTTAACAAATACCTTTTATGTCACCCTAAGCTAAAAATAGAATCGCTGGCTCCAACATAAAAGATACTTTAAATTTTTACAAGTAAACTTTTAATTATATAAGTAATAGAAATATCCTCCAAATCCTGACTGCCTGGGTTTTTTACCATTATTATTTACTCATTATTAAGTTTGTCAGCTATAAGTTTTTGTCTTCATTTGCCGATGTACTGTGGATTCATTAATATTCGTTGGATACTAATTTTCGTGGATTTAGTGGGAACAAGGGATCCACAAATTTAAATTTCAACGAATTACAAATTTTCTAAAGGAATATATGCAGATTCTGCCAAAACCACGAAATTTAATATCCACTAAAATGCAAGTTTTCCTCAATCTACGAAAATTGGTACCCACGAAAATAAAAGAATCCACAGTAACTATAACAAGGAATTATTTGAATCTGGAATAATTATGAATTCTGGAAAAGTAATAAGAAATGTATGATGAAAACTAACCCAACTAAAGAGGGTTAGCCATACGTGCATGGCTAAGGTTAATTTTACTTTCACTGATATTTCTGTATCATCTAGATAAACACCCTTAGCCATGCATGCATGGCTAACCCTCCTAAAATTGGGTTAGTTTTCGTCATAAATTTCTTATCAATTTTCCAGAATTTAAAATTATTCCTGATTCCAATAATTCCTTGTTCTATGGACTAATTACCCTAATTTATAGTTTTTTTGCACACGAGGACCACAGGGCCAAGTGAGCTTTTCTCATCACTTGGTGTCTATTGTCATTAACTTTTACAAAAATCTTCTCTAAAACTACTTGACCAGGCTTCACTGAACTTGACTACACTCTTCATTATGTTGTCTAGTTTTAAAAGTGTTTTAACCTGAAACCAACATGTACATGATGTAAGGCTAACAGTTTGGGTATTAGCCAAATATCTAAAATATATATATAATAGATAGATAGAAACTGAAAACACAAAAAATGATCAGCAAGATCTACGCGTAAGTCAGCATTGTTGAAATTGTCTGACAACCCCTTATTGATTTGTTACCCTTAAATGATGATTTTACCAATATTTTATGTTTTTGACTAATATCTGAAAAGCTATAATAGATAGATAAAAACTTGAATGAGCCAAAATGTCTAGCAATACTAGATCTACAAATAAGTCAACAAAGCTAAAATCATAAATTGATTCCAAAATGGAGTTTTTGCTTTTTAGTGATGATGTTTACCAATATTTTACGTTTTTGCCTATTATCTTGAAGACTATAAAAGATGGATAAATACTTTTAATAGCAAAAATTATCAGCAAGACAATATCTACAAAAAATTCAAATTTTGCAGAAATTGTTGGTAGACTCTTTATAGGAGTGATTGTCCTTAAATGACAATTTGTTTACCCTTTTTGTGAACTAAAGAAGATAGAAACTGCAAACAGAAAAAAATTATCAGCGATACAAGATCAACAATAAAGATATATTTGTCATGAATTCTATTCTAGTCCACAATGTTGGAGAGTGTCCATTGTTGAAGATGCACATAGCCCTAGGTGAGCAACACAGTCTATCTAGAGCCTCTAGTTGGTAAATTTCAAAATTTTTGCCTTATATCTCAAAATGATGATTTTTTAGTGTTTTTGCATTTTTTAGGAAACTAGTTTATAAAGAGAATCTTTCCAAAGTGAAAATGTTCTCAACAAAATATAATCTACAAGTAAGTCATGTAAGTCAACATGGACAAATTGTCAAATGACTTTATATAGGAGTTATTGCCCTTGCATTTATTGTGTATTTTGCAGAAACAGCAATAAAGAGAAATTATACCAAGCAAAAGTGTTCAGCAAAATAGGATCTACAAAAACGTAAACTTGGCTGAAATTGTCAATTGACTGCTATTGAGATATTGCCTGTAAAAGTTGATTTAACTTATTACAGTATAACTGATTGCAATGAAGGAAAAAATAAATACCAAAATGGCATATTTTTTACAAGGTGAGCGATTCAGGTTTCTTTTAAGTATTAATCCCTTCTTAGTCGACATTGCAGCAATACATTTTGCCCATTTTCAAATTTGGGAGATGTATTCATCATGTTCATAAGAGAATGTCTAGGTTTGACATTTGCAAAGATTTATTTCAGGCATTTTTAACCGGATTTTCAAAGGAAATATCGGTTATTAAAATGGTGATTTACGGCGGGCGGCTGGGAGGGCCTACGGGCAGCTGTCAAACATTGTCAGAACAATAACATGAAAACACTTTAACAAATTTTTTTCAAATTTAAATATGTTGTTTCCTGGGACTTAATGAAGGTCTAGTTCAATTTTCAAGATATAAGTATATCTCCTTTGTGAGTTATCACCATTTTTAATATCCAAGAGTGGAATTGTTAAATATTTTACTCTTGTTATCTTTTTTATGACTAAGCATAATGTCTTATCTCACAATAAAAATTGGAGTGATAGATTTATTTGAAAATTATCTATTTCCTAAGTGGTAATGATTATAATCTATATTATTAGACATTTTGAAGTTAATTACATTATTAATTAGATCTGGGTTATATCTTAGCATATAATATCATTGGAGTGACAGATTTATTTGAAAATTTTCTGGTTTCTGATAAGATCTGTAGGACTGTATATATAAAGTTTGAAATTTACTAGTAGGACTATAAATGAAATTTGAAATTTACTGTTCATTATTAGACATTTTTTAGATAATTAAGTCTCCCTAAACCATATATATTCTTACCCCCACCCCCTTTCAATTTGAGAATGTGCTTTTATCTTGTAAACGGTTGAGATCCCCACCCCTAAACCATATATATTCTTGTATGGGACAATAAAACAAATCAAATGAAATATTTGGGGAGTCCCCGGGTTCACCCCACCCCCCTACTTTTTGAAAACTTGTAAACAGTCAAGATCCCAACCCTGAAACCATATACAACAAAACAATTCAATTGAAATAAAAGGTGAGTCCCCTGGGGTCTATCAACCCCCTCCTGTTTGAGAACTTGTAACCCGTTGAGATCCCCACCCCTAAACCATATATATTCTTGTACTGGACAATAACACAAATCAAATGAAATATAGGGGAAGTCCATGGGGGTCACCCCAACCCCCCTTCTTTTTGAAAACTTGTAAACGGCCAAGATCCCCACCCTGAAACCATATATATTGTTGTATGGGACAATCAAACAAATCTAATGAAATAAAAGGCGAGTCCCCTGGGGTCCCCCTACCCCATCCTGTTTAAGAACTTGTAAACCGGCGAGATCCCCACCCCTAAACCATATATATTCTTGAATGGGACAATAAAACAAATCAAATGATATATAGGGGAAGTCCATGGGGGTCACCCCGACCCCCCTTCTTTTTGATAACTTGTAAACGGTCAAAATCACCACCCGGAAACCATATATATTCTTGTATGGGACAATAATACAAATCAAATGAAATAAAAGGCGAGTCCCCTGGGGTCACCCCCACCCCCTCCTGTTTAAGAACTTGTAAACGGTCGAGATCCCCACCCCTAAACCATATATATTCTTGTATGGGACAATAACACAAATCAAATGAAATATAGGGGAAGTCCATAGGGGTCACCTCCACCCCCTTTCTTTTTGAAAACTTGTAAACGGTCAAGATCCACACCCTGAAACTATATATATTCTTGTATGGGACAATAAAACAAATCAAATGAAAAATAAAAGGCGAGTCCCCATGGGTCACCCCCACCCCCTCCTGTTTGAGAACTTGTAAACGGTCGAGATCCCCACCCCTAAGCCATATATATTCTTGTATGCAATAAAACAAATCAAATGAAATCTAGGGGAAGT